GGGACTGAAAAAAGGATGAAAGAGAAAAGAGAGAAAAGAGAGAAAAAGGAAGGGAGGCCTCAAAGTTGGTTGTTGCTGGTGTTCCTGCTTCGTTGCTGTTAAATAAGAATAAGCCCCCACCATCGGACCTAAGGGGCACCTATATAGCCGGGGGCTTTCATGTACTTGGAGCCCAAAAGGAATAAAGAGTCGGGACACCTGGTCACGGGCAGCAGTTTGTCGAGAACTCCCTACGTGGGATAACGTCGTCGCGACCTTTGCGGTGTTCCGCGGATACGACTCGCCGGATACTCGTTTACCCTCGAGAGAGCCACGAACCGAGGACAGTCTTGAACGGAATAGGACACTACGAGACGAGAGAAACGAGACTCATCGCGACAACAGTTTTCGAAGCCTAATCTGTCCGATGCAACTCATCGTCGACGTTCCTCGTTCTCATCAGATTCGAAAGACAACGGCGTCCGTGACAATACACGGCCTGCCGATGGTGTTTTTGTGCAGTGCACGGGGGATCACATTCGGATCACGCGTTTTCCCGTGACTTCGCGCCGTTTTGTTACTACGACACATTTCCAAGCATAGGTGCGACGAGACCGAACCACGAAACAAGACAAAACGAACCGAGACGAACCGAGACGAGACGGGACGAAACGGAACGAGGAGAAACGACGGAGAAAAAGGATAGTCCAGAGGCGCGGGATACACACTAGCAACCGGCGAGAGACGTCATTCGGTTCGATTTGAGGGTTAGGGTGTGCTTCGCCGGTAGAACGTGTTGCTTCGTAACGTGCATCGTCGCGGTATCGTTAGCTGCGTTAGATATCTTTGTATTTTGTGCTTACCCGAGCGACGCGTTCGAGTCTGTGTACACCTCCTCGGCGTTGTGTTTTGAAACGCTTCGTTCCCGAGGGACGATCGGCTCGCTCGAAATTTGTATTTATCGCGACGCACCGTACTCTATATAACCATACCGCCGAATCGTTTGTTCGTTTATAGGTACGTATCCGTGCGAACTGCGTCTCGAGAGGTATCGAAAATATCGATGTTTCCCCTCGTGTCACGCCGTCGACGCGAGTTCCTCGATCGCCGTTTCACGCGACACGCGTAAATCGTGATGTTCGACGCGTCGATTGAGTCACGTTGGATTTTACCCTGTTTGAATCTCGTGTACGAAGAAGCATTAGCACACGACGCAGTGGATTATTAACTCGGCCGACGTTTTACAATTGCATTGCGATCTCTTGCACGACGTTTCAAGGTACCAGCATTTTCATTCGTGCTGCGTCGTTTATGTAAGAGCCGCGAATACGTTCGCGCCGTAATCGACGATTCGATAGAAATAAGAAAGAAATTCTCTTATTCGGAAACTGATCGACAAGGACCGAGTTGGAGAAGTCGGAAAAGGATACGCGTCTGTGGCATCGCACGCTTCAAAATACGCGCACTTGTTTTTACCTAGATACGTATGTACTAAGAGCGAACTAGATTTTACCATTTATTATTTATCATTCGCGAGAAGTTATTGTGTGCATGTTAAATTAATCGTTGCTCGAGATTGGATAATCCTGTGTACAAATTTCTCACCGTCCAGGCATCATTCTCGAGCGACGTATCGATTATTCGATCGGTATTTCTTTTTTTCTATTGTTTCTTGTTTGTTTTCATTTTTGCACGAGCAACCTGGAATCTGCCGGAAAGAAATTCTTCAGGGAAAGACTTGCACGGAAGGTAGGCCGAGATTTGTGACAATGTTCCGTGACTACGTAATGTGTCAATATTGCACTTATCCCGGCCTATCGGAATGCAATGTATTCCATCGAGAAACGAGAAGGCGAGCGAGAGGACACTCGAACGAAAAACGAGGGAAATGAGAGAGAAACGATGCAGCAACATCAATTCGATTTATATCGAGGATACCGGCAGGTCGGGATGTGGGCATTATTTGTGGTTAAATCAGATCAAATTGCACTCATTCCGGCCTGCTGGATCTGCTTGATTAATCATCTGTTCCTTGTGTTCGGTTCTCTGTTCCCAACGAAAACACCATGGCCTCTTTGTTTTCTGAAAAATCGAAACTCTTAATGCTACAAGCACAAGGTAAAGAAGCAATAAGTTCTTTAATTTTATTATCTGTAAAGTGTGTCTTGGATACATCAATAAAAACCCAAAACTATATCGACTGTTTGTATACCTGCGCAGTTCGCCGGCAGAGTTGTAAAAATTAATAAAATACAGAAAAGTATGCATTTGAAAATAAACAGACAATTTAAGAATTTTTGGCGCTATCATTTCAACCTCTCTCCCCAAGCTTACCGTACATTGTAGTAATTCGTCGATCTACTTCGCAAGCACTTCGAGACGTTATTAAATATACTTGCAACAGTTTCGAAATGAAATTTTCTTAAGAATAATTTTCCTAGTCGAACGACGACGAAGCGATGATTCGAGAGTAAGAAGTATAACGTTAAGTAGCGTTGCACTGATTGCAAGGGATTTAATTTGTTGATATATTACGCAATTAAAAGCGACGCAGCCGTGACGTTCGCGATAAATCACAAATGAGTCCGAAAGGGAACGTGATTTTGAAAAGGGAAATCGTCGTTAACAAGTTTCAAATTCATGGCTATCGTAACCGAGTCTTTTGTCGGCGAACGTACAATAAGAAATAACATTGCAGGGCGATTTTCTTATTCATCTGCGTGAAAAAGCCTATTATATTTTGTACGGTTACCCAGAGAAAGAGAGAAAGAGAGAGAGAGAGAGAGAGAGATTCTATCTACGTATTATCTGACTCTTTTTAACCTGTCCAAGATACACAAGAAAAAAATAAAGGGAAATTTATTGAAAGGAAGCGTGGAAAAATTACGCACGAGGGGTTACATTACGTTCGATCGAATAAGAAAACACAATAAAAGCAGTGGGGTCGTTCCCGATGAAACACGAATCCTGTTTTTCATTCATATTCCTCAGGTAGAAGACGTGCGGTTCAACGTGGTGCAAGCATCCCCCTTTAAGAGTCTCACGGTTTGAAATAAAACACCTGGCTTCTTCCCAATATGCGCAGTATATAGTATGCACGTACCCTACGTGTATATGTACGTGCACGCGGCCACCAACACGTTAGAAAAGGCTGCGCGAAAGAGCGCGCGTTTATTCGTCCACGGGACCGTATTCTCACGGCAAAAGAGAACTACTTCTCTCCAAGGACTGGTTTTGGCTTCCTTATAAACTTTATTCAATTCTGTATAATATGCTAAAGGGTACACTTGACGTGTGTACGTGTGTGCGCGCGCGTGTGTGTGGCCTCGCATCTACATGTACGTTGCATACATCCACCATTCGTATGTTAAACAATAAATGCACTGAAAGAATCTATCTTGTAGATACAACTGTGCGCAGCTGCTATACCTGTGTACCCTAGTGTACCTCTATGCGCTAATTCGTTGCAAAAAAATTCGGCACCTAAACCGTCAGAAACGTGGTTAGGTGTTGTATCTTCCAACGGAAAATTTCATCGTAAGATTTCTTTAATTTGCGTTCGTTGTTAATAATATTAGTTATTGTACTAGCTTAGTGGTGAATATTATTATTGAGATTTAAATGTAATTATTTTTGTAATATTCATGTTTGTTGTCTAATGATTGTACGTAACTAAATATGTGATATTCAATGTTTTATAGATTAGTATATCGGAGGCTAGTTTGATACTTAATATTTTGTTTATTATAAAAGTAAAATCTATATTTTAACGAATTACGTTTAGAGTTTAACGAGCCGTATTAAGTATTGAATGTTTTTATTTCATAACGCGAGAGTACTTGCGAACATTCAAGTTCCTTTTGCTTTAAATATTTCTTTAATGTTATAGTTTCCCGCTTTTTTCTATTTTGAAAGTATACTTTTCAAAATGCATGGTCCTAGGTATGCAGTTATCATTTTAAAAAAGTGAAATCTTTGTTACAGTATTAACTTTGATCTTAATACAGAGCATTTGAAATCTGTTGTCCCTTGGTAAAAATACAAAGCCTGCAGGTAGGCAACCGAACAGTATACCAGTAGAAACGACGAAAGCGTCTAGGTTACTTGTTCATCCAATAATGCGTTTTTTTACGGCTTAGCTCTATTCTCCGCGAGGTGGAAAGACATAAACAACAACACAAAGCAGTTTCATATGACAGGATTTTTATTTTATTACACCTTTAATATATTTGGATGACGTTCAATTGACTTTTGTTTGTAAACAAGTGTTAAGGAGTCGTAAAATGAATCACTTGAAACGTATTCCGTACAGGTTAGTAGGGTGCTACTTTGCTTGAACAATTACTTTGTTTACCAAATTTATAGAAACATTAATTGGAACAAATGTTTAACAGATATCCATGCTGTTGGTTGCAACACTCACAGTTATTCTCATCAACGTTAAATTCTGAAATACAAATACCACCTAGGATAGAACGGGGGCCAACAGATATCTTGCATGTAAATATATAAAAATGTCTTATAGTAAATCTTTTTTAAAATTTACAGATTTACATAGATCTGGTTTTATTATTAAAGGCTCTTGAGCGTACGGTGGACAAATGTGCAACAATTAACCGAACTACAATCACTAATGATTTCTATTTATGTCCACGAACCAAAAGCGAATTTTTTACTTATTCCTTGGCCTATGAATCTGGTAGAAAGACAGCACATTGGATACACAAAGAACATAGAGATCTGTTTCCAAAACATCTTTCAGTACCCCCAATTGAAGTACATATTATGTATTATAATCAGCATCTGTCTATTACAATTTGATGTATAGCGATACTTAACTCTTGTTTCTGTAATTTATAGGCATATTTACCACCAGTGGTTTATACAGATGAAAGTCAAGTGTCGGAAGAAGAGCTTTTACAAGCTATATCAAAATTAAAAGTGTCAGATGCATTAGATATTTACAAGCTGCTACCAAATGTTTCCAATACAACCAAACAAGCTCTTTTAGAATTATTATGTTTTTCCAATGCGGATGCAGATATGTTTACGCCATATGAATATCAAAAGTGGTTTTTCTTATTATCAAAAAACTCACAGTGGTCGTAAGTTTTGAAAGCAATAAGCAGTTATTATGCATCTTTAATAATTTAAATTTTTTAGGCATTTCCCAGTGATTGAGGACTTATATAAATTTTTGTCAAGTCAAGAAGATTCAGTAACAGTAGCTAAAGCTCACAATGCCATGATACTTGGCTATGCAAAGTGGCAAAAAGTATAGTAATTTTAATTTACTTATGAAACAATTTCTCCAAAAGGAATTTATTATTGAAAATTAATCAAAATTTTTTAGATTGAGGAAGCTTGGTTACTGTACCAGAAGTGTATAGAAGATAATATTCCATTAAATGTTACTACACACAATTATGTAATTCGGATACATTCAGAGCTGTTTCAGATTGTAGATTACGATTCATTATTAAATATTCTTAGACGTATGAATGACAAAGGAATTACACCAAATGTTAGAACTTTGAATGCTGCTCTTTATGCGCTTTCTAAATTACCAGACCTTGAACAAGCCAAAACTCTTGCAATACATTTGCTCATAGAGTTCAAAAGACTGAAAGTAAAATTGTCGTTAGCATCGTACATGCATACCATTGCTATATTTACTCGTGAAAGTAAATATTTTTGGTATCTCAAGCTTAGTAATCTCAAGATCATTATTACTTTAAGAAACTGCATTATTTTTCTTTTATAGGACGTTCTGGATATGATGCCTTCAAAAATATAATAGAATCTATTCCAGAAGAGGAGATGGCCATTCAGGATCCAGATGATGGACAATTTTTTGTTCAAGCTATAGGTTTGGCTTATAAATACTTATGTTACGCAAGTGGTGAAAAAATAAACAATATTCTTTTAGTTGGAAACAATTATAAATTTCAATATTGTTCACAACAAGTACGTTGTTTTTTCGATTGTTCATGTGACTTACTTGACGATTACATTATTTGATAATATAATTTGCAATTACAGGAGAATAGGTATTTCTTCTCGTACTTAATGCTGTTGTTGTCAACATGTTCGATTGAAGAATTCTTTACGATTTACCATAAAGTTGTTCCATATTACTACTTACCAGAGTATAAACTTTGTGTAGAAATCTTATCGTTTATACAACTGCATACACCGAAAGAAGTAGGAGAATATTTAACCACATTTTGGTCGGAATTGGAAAGGTTGCGTTTGACAAACACAGATCTTGGTTTCATCGCATTGGAAACGATATCGCGCAGCATTTCACAGCTTGAACAGCCGTTGAAAAGAATGTGGGCAAATGCAGCTATCAAAATGTGGAAATCTATAAAGGTTGAGTATTTACATACCTGTTGCGTTGGAACGACACTATAAATGAAATATAAAGTAATGTATATCTAAGACAGACCTCACGTTTCAGCATGAGAAGACGGTAAAAAATGTTCCTACTTCTTTAATTGGTCATATAGTGTTACTTTTATTGACAAATAATAATGTGGATGAAGTTCGGAATATTTTAACATACACCATTAAGAATCTGAATTCATTTATGCCAACGATGACCAAAGATCAAGCACATGAATTATTCGTGCTATGTATTTCAAATAATTATCTTACAGAAGCTCTTGTATGTATTTATAATTGTTCTCTTCGCATTCTGGCTTTAAAATTATATATATATATATATATATATATATATATATACGGTAATTTAATTCTTTTCTTTTTCAGCTTATCCTCGAATACAGCGTAAATGTAGGATTTCAACAAATTGCTGACATGGCTAAATTATTGTATAATAATAAAGGGCTCGCTGCCGACGAGCGTGAAAAATTGATGACTATAATAGGAGACGATTTAGCGGTCTCATTGTATGAGATGAACTTGGAATAATATCAATTAGTCGCAATAAAGAAGTATTTATAACAGTTTCTGATTGTATATTTGTCTGTATCTCTTTTTCGTTACATTTAGCACAACTTTAAATTATTACGTTAACGCGCTTTACGAAGTTTACGAAAGTTTCTTGGCTGTTATTGGAAATTCGTGTTATATATACAAGAATTTCAATCAATTTGTCATTCAAAGAATAGAAATTACTCGCGTCATTGGAAGATATTAATGTCCTTGTCCCTCTAGGTAGGGTACGTACGATTAGTAAATTAAGTTCTGCAGCAGTGGGAGGTACTATCCTCTTGTCACTCAAATACTTATTTCCTGCATTGCATAGCTTAACATCGTAACTCACTCGACCGTTTGAAAGACTGGATTGCTACGGCACCTAACGACACGAGATACCAGAACGTTAAGCCGCAAGAGGAGATCGTTCGAAAGGAGTTTCTCCTCGTATACACCGATTTGAAGAAAACAGAAATCGCTCGGTCTCATTCGAGAGGGGGAGTAGCAGTGATGGACAAGAAAGGAGATGATCCGCGTCTTACATTGGAGGCGGTACGTGAACTGATAACGAAAGATGAACCGAACGTGAAGATCAGCAGTGTAGAGGAAGAACATGGGTCGGGCAGAGGTGACAATTACACGTCTATGCTCTACCGCATTCGGGCGAAAGGGCAACAGCAGAGGGATGGTAGAACCGACGATTGGATAAATTACGAATGCGCGATCATTTATAAAGTTTTGCCCCAATCGAGGGAACACCGGGAGGCGTTTAAAAGTGAACTACTCTTTCGCAACGAGGTGGCATTCTATACATACGTGTGGCCTGCACTGAACAACTTGCAAATAAACAATAGAAATGTGTTCAACGGTGTTGCCAAAATATACGCAGCGCGAGACGATCTTATCGCCATGGAGGATCTACGAGAAAGGGGCTTTAAAATGGCAGATAGAAGGAAGGGGCTTCAGCTTGATCATTTGAAGCGCGCCTTGAAAGCGTTGGCCGGCTTTCACGCGCTCAGTTTGACGCTCCGAGAAACAAGGCAAGTTAAACATTATCCGTTCCCTTTCTCTTTTCTTTTCTTTTCTTTTCTTTTCTTTTCTTTTCTTTTTTCTCGCTCTTTCCACTCTTCCATTTTCCATGAGACATCTTTTACACGTTTACAATAAATCAAGTAATAATACCTACACTTTTTTACATATGTACATAATGCGTGTTCCGAAGGTCGGAAGAGTTTGCAAGACTGGCCGACCCGGACGGGGGTCAAGGCGTACGGGAGGTGTTTTTCCGAACAGAGAACGAAGATTGGTATCGGCAATATTATCGAGAAGCTGCGAAGAACGCCATCGAAATGGTATCGAAGGGTCTTCCTTCCAGCATGGAGCACAAAAGAACAGAGATAATGGAGAAATTGCAAGCGTTCCTCCACGAGGACGTATTTTTCCGTACAATGACCGAAGTCGCTGCAGTTAGAGGGCCTCTCACTGTCTTTTGTCACGGCGACTGTTGGACTAATAATATTCTTTTTAAAGACGACGCCCAGCCAAACGAGGAGGTACGTGTTACAGAGTAATTGTTCACATCTTTGGTTCGCTAAATGAATTCCGTCAATTTTGCTTCCTACAAATTCCGTATAAAAACGTGAAAAACTTGTACGTGTATTAGGTCAGGTGTGTTTTGTACAGAACCGTTCGACGACAACGTATACCTCGTAGGTCCACTTTAGCTAGAATTTAAGTGAGAATATGAAATTATAACATCTATGTTTGTTTTTCTTTTTGTTCTTTTCTTTTTCGTTTTTTTTCTGTATACTTTTATTATATAAATCTGTAAGATTCTTATATTACGATTCTCGTGTTCGTCACCGCTATTTACCACGATGCTTGGTTTAACCGGTAAATCGAAAAGATTCTCGTCGCTTCTCTAGTCGTTCCGTTGGGAAAAGAGTTGCTTCGTCGTATTATAAATAAATTATATTTCACTCTTCGCGACAGAATTGGTCGTGGAATTTTCTCGCGAATATTAATCCACGCGTGAACATAATTTCCTTGATACAGAGAAAACAGAGATAAACGCACAGCGAGAAGATATCGATCTTAATCCGTTGTTTCGGTTAGGTGAACGGTGTCGCGTTGAAGTGAAATATATATATAGTGATTGCAATGTTGCGAATAACGCGGTAACGTTACAGGACGTCTGTTTGGTTGATTTTCAACTAACCAGGGTTGGCTCGCTCGCTCTTGACCTCGTTAACTTTCTGTACTGCTGCACGAGCGGCGAGATCAGACGGGCTCACATGACACAGCTTCTTCAGCATTATCATTTCCACTTGATGTCCTCGTTGCGCGTCCTCAGCCCGGAGCATCCAGCGAAAGATCCGTCTGTTATGTGGGAACTGTAAGTAATGCGCTGTAGTTTGTTTGTAACAAGGGAGAGGAGAGACGTTAATGTCCCCGTCCGTTTAATCCCTGTGTGGCGACGGTGTGTAGATTAAACGAGGAGATACGACGGTGCGGACGCTTCGGAATAGGTATCGCGTTGGATATTCTACCGATCAGCACGTGCGAGAGCGAGGAAGCGCCGGACATGTACGAGAAACCGGAGACGAGCAAAAAAGAACAGACGATACGAGCACCGCCTCGCGGAGGAGCCGAGTGCACGCGACTGATGACTGACTTAGTTTTGGAACTCGTGAACCATCACGCGCTGTAACTCGAGCATTAACAGATATCCCCGAGTAACCGGAGTACATTCTTCTTTACGGTTTGCCGAAGTAAATCAATGGTGAGACTGTACAATTTCACGCGTAGGCGAGTCTAATCAAGAAAGAATCGGTCACGCGACCGATCAACGTTAAACAGTTTAAACAGCTGCGTACGAGCGGATGTATGGAAGTGTGCCCGAGAATATTTCTACTCGAACCAGGTTTCTCTGAGAACCTACGGCTAGCGCCGTAGGAAATTTTCAAACGATCCTGGACCACGACGAATGAACATGGACTGAAGCAAAGAATTATTACTCTGTATCGCAGAAATAATATATTCAGTATTAAACATTTCATTTATATTTTGTTTCACTTTACGTTCGTGTCCCTCCTTGTTACGACGACATACCGCGCGCGCTATCACAACAGACAGCTACAATTTTAAAAGTGGCTTACAAAAAGAAAGTTACGCCTGTTGCGGAGGCGTATGCGCTGCTGGTTGTTGGGCCGACGCTTGAGGGCTCGGCGGTTGCTGCTGCTGCTGCTGTTGCGCGGCTGGCTGCCAAGGTGGGTGCTGATTCTGTTGCTGCTGTTGCTGTTCTTGAGCCAGACGCTGATGCGCCTGTTGCCTTGCTCGGAATTCCGCCGCTTTCAGTTGCTCCAGGTGAAACTGTTGCCTCTCCGTGATCAGTTGCTGCCTCTGATACTCGAGACCCTCGCGTTCCCGTTCCATCGTGGTCTCCAGCTCTTCGAAGTGACGTAATTTAATTTCTAGCTTCTTCATCTGCGTCTCGACGAGCAACGCCACCAGCGATTTTATTTTACGCTCTTCCACGGCGGCCAAGTGTTTCGCCTTGACGGCGGCTGCCGCCAACGCGGCGGCGGCTGCCGACTGCAGCTGAGCGTCTCGCACCACCTGGTTTACACCAAGAGAGTCCCATTAGAATCAAAGCGCGGTGAAACCATACGACACCAAACGAAATTGACTTTACCTTGTCTTTCTTCTCTTTCGCCTCCATAGCCTCGACGTCCACGGGTGTTTTCGTGTCCTCCTCGGCTTCCTTCATCTCGTCCTCCTTTTTACTAATGTCTAATTGAGTCTGGTCGACCTCGGAATCCTTCGGCTTCTCTTGCTCCTCCTTCTTCGTTTCAATCGGCGTCGACGTCGCCGAGTGCGGAGACGTGGCCGCCGCTGTCGGCACGCTTCCAGCCGTCGAAGGTGTCGCCGTGTCGTCCGGAGGCTCGGGTGGTCCTGTGCCGGCTATTCCCGATTGCGCCAAGCCCGCAGCCGGGTCGAATTTGCCTAAACATAAATAATACACTCAGAGAGAATCCTTCGAGCCGCGCCTCAGAACCGAAAGACTCAGTACCATCCGAGTTTGCACTGGCTTGGACGTTCCTCAGGTGTTGGTCCAACAAGGCGGCCGGCACTTGATCCTTGATAGCTGCGAACTCCTCCATGGCAGCTTTCGCGGCGCTCGCTGCCACTCTAGGATCAACAACGGATGCCAAAAACGCAACCGTGCTCATCACTGGATTCCCTGCCTTCGAGAAAGGCACCGGTTGATAGGCCAGCGGACCCAGACCTTCCGGCCCTCCTTCCTCCAAATACGGGTCCTCTATTGGGAGCCGCAAGAAGTGCAAAATGCACTCGTCCTGGGTTCTAGAGCCGACGTGCTCGCAAACTTTGTTCCAGTCATCCTTGTGTAACTCTAATCCTTCCAACAACAACAACGTCTCCTGCTCCGTCCAGTCGCGAGTGGCGCCGGCAGCTTGTTTGTTCTTCAACACCGCCGGCTTCCTTGAATACTGATCTATCTTCAATCCGAAGTTCGCCATCGCTCCGGCTGAAGCCTTCTCTTCTGATCCCATTACGTTCGACTTCTTCTCCAGGTCGAGCAAAGTCTTCGCGGCTGACGGTTGCGGCGTCTTCGGCGGGTTCGGATTCACCGGAGCCAAACCAGACGGTGTATCCGACAGTACATGGAAATGTGACGTCGGCGGGGGTCCCATAGGCGTCGGTCTCGATTCTGCGTCCACCTGATAATTGATGAGTCCCCATTGTTCTAGAAACGCGTGCACACGCATAATCGCGCATACGTCCCCTGCCAAATTGCGCCTGCAGGCCGTCGACGTGATGTACTCGGTGGGATTTAATCTGTAGGTATCGATCATGAAGTTTCTATAAGCCAAATAGATCTCCGGTGTCTTGGACTTGTTCTTGCCATTGAAAAATTCCGACAGAGCTCTCTTCTCTATAGTGTGGATCGAGTTGTAGTCGAACCAGGCGGAGTAGCTTGGAACAACGATGTGATGAGTTTGCTCCGTTACGTTGTCCTCCGGTTCGTCGCCTTTGCTCCCGTCTCCCCTTTCTTTGCTGGCATCTCGTTCCTCTCTGTCCTGGGTGCTCTGAGAACTTCCCTTGTCACCTTCCATCGGTTCGTCTAGGTCTGCCATGTTACCAGACTTTAGCGGCTGAAGTTCGTTGTCTTGCTTTTTACTTCCTGTACTCGTTAAAGTAGCACCGCTCGCTGGAGCGTTACCTTGACCTGTAACCGGTGGGTTCGTTGGTGTGGCAACCACTTCTACGATCCGAGGTTCTGCCGGAGGATCCTCCATTCCTTGCGTGAGATCGTCTTCCTCCTCTCCCACGCCACGAGATTTCTTAGGAGTCGCTAGTGACGACGTCGAGGAAGCACTTTGAACACCCGACGGTGCTCTCGCGCTTTTACGTTTCCCCGGTTTCGGCGGCGGGCTGGGTGACCGTTTCCGTTTCGGTTTTTTCGCTGAAGGTGGCGGATGCGACGGCTGAGCCATTAAATCCTCTACCGATAATCTGTACTTGTGTATCTTCTTCTGACCGTTCTCGTCTATTTCATAATCTTCTTCGTTCATCCACTCGTTGTACTGATCCAAGTCTAGCGCCCACGTTGCCGATACCTTGTACACTGATTTTACACTGGCGTTCGTCAGTGTCCCTTCTGGAAAGTCCCAGGGAAGATCTAAACTAGTCCAAGAGTCATAACTATCTGGAAAATAATACCAATGAAGGAGAACGGATCTTTCGCGCCTCATACACGGCCGTGCGTATTCCTCTTCCATGGGATCCACGGGGGGATAAATTATATGCGTGGCATCCGCTTCGTTTTCCGCGATAGTACCCTGGTGTCTTCGAACCGCTTCTTTCACTTTTGTCGCCGTCGACTTATCTACATCCGTTCGTACATATATACTTGGTATGGACAAACATCTGTTCTGAACCAGAGCCCGTTCAGCTGCCATTAACATTTCCACTGTTCTATCCATCCGAGATCCTGACTGAAAAATCATTTATGCACAAATCAGTTTCGTATTCTCCTTTGTGACGCGTAATAGTTACCTTCCCAACAGGAAAATCAAATCTACGCCATCCTTGCTCTTGCTTAAAACGATACGCGGTAGCAAGAATGTGACATAAACCACCTCCTGGTTTAAAATCTAAGAAACATTTCATCTGAAAGTATCGACAGTTATATCAATTACAAAGTGACACTGCAATTGTAGAATTTTGTTTAGTTGTAATCAACGATAAACACTTACAGGAAGCCTGGTCATAGGTGGTTTTGAAACATTTTTTCCTAAATTGTCTTCTTGGAATTGCAACAATTGCACTATCAAAGTAGCTAAACTTTTATTATTGGGAGGGTCCGTTTGTACATACTGTAAAATATAAAGTACAGAAAATAATGATATCATGAAACAATTAAAATTATATAAGTTTATTGGCCAATACCCTTAAATATTAAGCAGTGCAAAGATATAAATTTCTATTTCACATAGATATACGCGTACATGCAAAGTGTAACACAACAACACTATATTAAAAGACTATGGTATTTGACTTTACTATAAACAACATGGAAAATACAAAATACACGTCTTGCATTGCACAAAAAATAATTCGGTTAATTCAGTTTAAGTGAAAGTAAAAATCTCCAATGTGTAGTAAGAAAATCACATATGCAAATCATTATTTGTATGCACCCGAAAAATTCAGCCTGAATTCTTGTAATTTCAATCGTAAATTCAGCTTTATTATAACAAAGCTGGCATAGCAGATTAATCATTAAAACGATAATTAAAATAAAACAGTATCAAAAGGCTCCAATAGAACATATAAATCATCGTTGAGTTGTTCTTGGAGGTTTGACGCCGGATGCTTTGGACATACCTTTTTACAATTTTTTAACAACCACTGTTTCACTCCGTCGAGTTGTGTAAGAATTTCTTGGGACTCGAAAAATTTTGCATTGGGACCTCCGTCCTTTTTCGGTCCTAATGCGAGCATTTTTCACGAAATATTGACTTAAAAAATTATCAGATACGCTATAAGAGAGAACGCCGCGTTTGTTGCAAACATGACACGCCTCTGAAGTTAGTCGGTACTACGGCATTTCTATGAATACGCTTCCCGACACAAGTTTAGAAACTTCCAGAGAACAGTTTTAAACATATTCCTTTGTTTACTAACGAACAAAATTCACTGTCGAAAAGATAAGGAAATAGTGCTTGCTATCCTTACAACCATTAATGTATAACCTCCATTGAAAATATTTATTTATGGAACGAAGTTGTACTAATAGTGACTTCGATGATTGGTAAACGTGTCCTCGCGGGACTTTTAATATGGCGGATCAATGTTTTCCGAGCACAGTAAATACTATCAAAGATGAGATAAACCTTGTCTGAGGTTAATACTATCTTTAATAATCTCATTAATACTATCTTTAGTATTAATTTTATAATTAGCTCCAATCATAACCTAAAATAATTGAACTTGTTGTATTGGGTTAATTAGAATTCGGTATGTGCAAGGGTTCATAAAGATACCATGTACCCGTTAAACTGCGAGAATTTTAAATATTTTAATAATGGATAATTTCAATGTTTTTATTTTCAGTAACAATAAGTATGTCTAATGAAGAAGATGTTGACGTGAATAAAGAATTTGAAAATTTATTGTTTGCCGAGGAAAATGCTCAAAATGAAGGTTACGAAGAAGGTTATGAGACTGGCAGGCAACAATTAATAAAAGGATTTCATCTTGGGTATCACAGAGCAAGCGTCATAGGCGCGCTATTAGGATATTATTGCGGTGTTTTGGAACAATATTTAAGCACCGATAAGTCTGATTCGAAGAAAGCAGTTTCTGTTGCAAAAGAACTTCTTCAAAGTATTTATAATTTTCCACGATTCAATGATGAAACCACAGACATATCGAATACTGTAGATAACATTAAATTTAAATATGCCAAGTTTTGTTCATTAACAGGCACATGTGCTTTGTACCCAGAAACAGATAAACTTGATTTTTAGTCTAAAAAGCTGTTATAATATACAGCAAAGGGAAAATATTTTCTAAAATAACTTTTGTTGTCCATAAATTCCTTAAACATCATTATGTATGATAAACATTTTGAGGAAATCTTGAATTTTATAAATACCTATGACAAATTAATAAATTGTCATATAGTTGATTTCATCACGGATAACTTGTGGAAGACATGTTTACCAAATGAACTGAGATTGGAATTAGAAAGAAATGAAACAAACTGCAACCATTGGACAGAAGATGACAGTCATCCTATACTTAATCAATTTATAAAATTGACTAAATCTCTTTCTTTACAATCATGTTCCACAGAAATAAATTCAAAGGATCTTATAGATGTATTACCAATTATCAGCAATTTAAATAAACATAAATGTGAAGGCATAAAAACAGAATTTATGAATGTTAAAAAATCACACGAGGTTGAATGTCTGGGGAACATTGTAGGAACAGTAGCAGCATCAACCAAGAGCTTGGTAATAGATGCTGGGGCTGGTAAAGCATACTTGTCTACCTTCTTAGCTAAAACTCATAATGTTCCTGTCCTTGCAATAGATTCTTCTCAATCCTGTCACAAGGGAGCAATTTGTAGACAAAACAAATTAAAAAAAAAGACAAGAGATTCTAAAAATTTGGTATTGACAATACTCTATTGTGTACTGGCCACATTTTTATTTGATCCTAAGATATAAATGTACTACATTTTTTTCTAGGTTCAGTATGTTGTGAACGAAATAAATGAAACTACAGACTATATAGCAATGATAAACAATAACTTTCCTGAATGGAAGTTTGATAATAATCTTATATTAACTGGTTTACATGCTTGTGGTTCTCTTACTCATTCAGCTATCAAAACATTTTTAACCACAAGAGATATTCAGCTTTTATGTATTGTACCCTGTTGTTATCATTTGACAGATGAAACTTTAAACGAGAATATTAATTTTTCGAAAAATGCTAGAATGTTGGCACAACAATCCATTGAAAGAAGTACAAAAAAGAAGTCTATGTCTTCATCATTGTTCTACAGAGCAGTTTTGCAAGTGATTCTTCATTCCATGGGTATAATGGTGTTTGTTATTGTTGACATAGTTTCTGTTACTAGTATAATATTTATTATTTTGTTTATTAGGTATTTATAACGCTAGAGTAGGACGCGGGGGACCTTTAAACGACTTTCCGAGTTACGCTCGATGGGCACTCTTAAAAATTGGAGTACAATCTCAAGAGGTACAATAGTAGTAGCACAATAATAGCAACAACAAAGAAGAAAATAAATGTTTTATTTCTACAGATTCCATCTTCGGAGGCGTTAGAAAGTATTTATAAATTACATAAACAGTTATCTAAACAATTTTACATGTTCCAAATGTTGCGAATACACACGAGTATTGTATTGGAAGCAGCAATCATGTTGGACAGGATAATGTTCTTACAAAAGAGTAATTTGTGCTCCAAACTTGCTGTGTTACGTTTATTTGATCCCGTTTTGTCGCCCCGGAATTATGGCATCATGGCAATAAAATAATATAAAAGTACAACCTATGCAAGAATTTTGAATAATTGTTTCATACACAGTATGATAGTTAAAATGTTGCATTGAAGTATCAATTAAATAATTCCACAAATGTTAGAACGTTGTGATAAATAATACATCTCGTATGAATTCAATAGAATCACGATTTATGAATTTCAGTGGTTTGAAGATAGTCCAGAACAGATGTATATCCCTCTTTTTGCACTATTGTGGCTAAAATTCCTGTTGGACGAAGACCACTCCTAGTTCTGCATATACTGCAATTACAGAGACCACGACACGGTGGACAAGCCCAGTTCTAGAAGTTAACAGAATGGTTATAAAAACAGTAATTAAAAAAGAAACCAGGAACCAATGTAATCGAAACACTTACAGGATCTTTCAATGCTTCAAGAGCACTTTCGCCGTATCTTCCTCTCAAGCAAGGTCCACAAAATTGTCCCCTAACTCCAATGCATTCTCCCGATCGACATACCGTTTTTGTGTCCATTGTCTTCTGCCTGCACTGATGACAACTGGTACCATTAACCTTACAATACTGCTTATTCATACTTCTATCTGCTATGTTATTTAACATGCTCTCCGTGATCTCATCAACGGATGGTATGGTTGCTGGGTCGTATGGTGCTTTAGATATTTTGCCTCTCCTCATTGCATCGAAATCAGCATCATCATCATCATCGTAATCATTCTCATTCTCATTCTCATCCTCATTATCACTGCTGCTTTCATACTGTTCTTCCTGATCGACGTCGCAGACTCCCATCTTCATTAGATCGAGCGATCGTTCGAACGGTTTCGCCCACGGGAATAAAACCTGTAGTTTACGCTTGCTACGCCTAACCCCGTTCAATTCTTCGTTGCATCCACTTCTCGATCTGCTTCTGGTGTTATACGTTTTGCGGAATTTCAGCCGTACACGTTTACCTTGCGCGTCGTCGTCATCGCCGGCACTGGAAACAGTTCTGCGCCTCTTCCTCGGCGGTTCGTTCTCCAAATTCTCTCGACTCCTAAATTTCGCTTCTAATTCCTTCACTTCGTTCGCCTGGGCCTTTATATCTTTAAAGAACTCGGCAAGCTAAAAAACACACCGAAAAGGAATCAAACGATCGAGCTCGAGTGCAGGTTAAACATTTGAACCGTAAACTTGCAGAAATACTCACGGCGGCATTCTTTTCAGCTATATTCCTTCTCCGAAGGTCGTCGTAATCGTTTTTATCCATATCACAACTGTCTATCGAACTCGATCTTCAAACGGGAACAGTTAAAACGACATATCGCATAAACACACCGGATCGAACCGCTGATTCTCGTTCAAATGTTATTGTGGGTTACCCCGTGCAACATGGCGCCTCGGAGGGGAAATTTGGCGGGCAAAATTCCCGTGACGTGTACGATGCAGTTATGTACGTGTCGAATATGTGTTCGAAACGTTCTCGGACGGACGTTTATTTACAAACATAATCCCCCGAACCTTCCCGATGAACAGATCGTCATGGGACGCACGATTAACCATATTTCGAATACTTCCGTTTCGGTGATCGTTAAAAGGATACTGCGAGACGGTAACAAAATGCATTTCGTCCTTCGTTACTCTCTAATCATTCTCACATTGTTTCTTGTTATTCATAGGACAATCGAAACACGAGGTATTTCGTACTTTGAGCTACAATTCCCTCCTTCGTAGATAAGATAGGAGTCAACGATGGCTTACCGTTCCCGATCTTATCGATAAGAGAGTGACCGAGTGCCTCAGACCTTCGTCGAACACCGGTTTTTCCCACGAGCTAAACCGATCGAAATTCGACAGTAATTTACCACACGTAGATCATTATAATATTACATAATCCTTCAACGCTATTTAAACATACATATACATACATACATATACACATATATACATACATATCAAACAATATAAAGATACACAAAACCGATCGATGAAAACTACTTATCGCTATTGACTTTACGTACACAGTTTTAGGACTGAAATAGTTGGTCCTGTTTCACTTTCGATATCGTTCTCCTTATCACCGATACGGGGAACGCGTGACGACCGCTCCGAAGAGGATGAGCAAAGAGCGGGCGGGATAGTACGGGGCACGTACTTTAAATATTCGGCGTTCCGTATTCCGTGTTTCAGTACGTGGATTCGCCAGTAAATCGAGTAAATCGGCTAGAGATCGTCGCACAGGGGAACGCGGTTTCCCAGAGGAATTAAAAAGGGAACAACCGTCGAACGATATCGTTTCGCACCGGTGGCACAAGGTGTCCGCTGCGGAGGACGATCGATTATCAGCTGCTGGATCACGCCAGGTAAATACGATACTTAGAATAATTCGGAGAAATCCGTGCGCTGATACGCGCGTTGTTTTGCTGCAGCGATAACGATGCATTCGCGATCGTCGTCGGTAGGATGAACGCTAATTCCGCCGTTGATAACGTCGTGTATTTCTTCGTCCAGCTTCGAATGAGAGGCGCGTACCACCTTTGTTACTATACTGTAGATGAATAATGAATGGTTCCCCATCGGTGAACGGCGCACCGGACTCCGAGACGATGAATTAGAAATCTAGCTCGCGGTTCAATATTGCAGATCGCCACGCGGTTAAGGACAGGTCAATCTCCTCGGCGTACGCGCGATACGTTCATCGACGATGGAATCTCTCGCCAGAACCATGCTCGGGAGAACTGGAGTCTCCAGAGGGAAACTGTTGAACCTATTCTGCCAGGTAACGTGGACACCATGGAGCCGATTCGAACCCTTTGCACCCGGAAGTTTCTCGCTGGAAATGTCTCACGTTCTTTTAACCCTTTGCGGATGGATGAGATTTCGATGGGATGAAATATTTATATTTGGAGGACTAGTTTTCTCTATTAACACTTTGACTGCTAAGTATACTCATCGAAGCTCCTACGCAATCAAAGCAGTTTTCTTAACAACGCTGAAACTAGAAGTTTCTTCACAACGATTGCTCTATCTTTCTAGTATCTCGCGTCTGACAGAATTCAATTTGTTCGTTTCATCACCAAGAAATGTAATGTTTAAGTTTATGTGGATCATGGTGTCACCCGAATTCGGTGGGTTATATTATAAATAATGCTACCAATTGTGGTGACATTCAGTTTGAACGTGCAATGGTAATACTCCAATTCAGTTGAATGATTTAATATTGTATTTCTTCCATTTTCTGAACTTTGCTCTATGAAATCGTGCAGCGTTCAATTAAGCGATTGATGTGTAATTTAGCTTTGTATATTGAAGATTTTGCATGTTTCATCCGCAAAGGGTTAAAATGTTGCTAATCTCCAGGGGAAATCTACATTGAGGAGCGAAGCTGTTTTATTCTTAGTTCAACGTTATCAGATTCTATAGTTTCACTGTTAAAGCGAAGTCACCTCCGAGTGCAAGGGTTAAACTGGAATTTTGGCCGCAGGGCGAGCGGAATGGCCGAACGATCACGTCGCAGGAGATTTTTGAAAGAGAGTCGAAGCACGGCGCTCACAATTATCACCCGCTGCCGGTCGCCTTGTGCAAGGCCAACGGAGTTTTCATGTGGGACGTCGAGGGCAAACGGTACTACGATTTCCTGAGCGCTTACTCGGCCGTTAATCAGGGCCATTGTCACCCGAGGATCTACAAGGCGCTCACCGATCAGGCGAGCGTGTTGACACTGACTTCGAGGGCGTTTTACTCGGACGCGTTGGGCGAGTTCGAGGAGTACATCACGAAGCTTTTCGGGTACGCGACGCTTTCTGTCTTGTGTCGTTGCACGACAGAGAGTGGTATTCGTAAGTGGCTTTCAGAGTGAGAGAGTGAGACACTGATGCTTTAGTAGACGGTAGATCATAATACGTGATCCAAAGATGTATCAAATATAAAGATATATAAAAATATGAAATATATTTATATCAAATATAAAGATAGATAAAGATATCAATAGATTTATATCAAATATAGAGATATATAAAGATATCAATATATTTATATCAAATATAAAGATATATAAAACTGAATGAAAAATACACACTGAGTGTACCTAGAAAGACCCTTCATAGTCAGTAGTCACCAGTAGTTTTTCAAACGGCAAAACGTTGGGAACATTCCTCTCGGACACAGCTCGCCGAGAGCCACTTATGAATGTAACATTCCCGACCGTAGAAGCATCGAAGCTACTATAGAGAATGATCTTCAGGTACGACAAGTGGCTGCCGATGAACACCGGCGTGGAAGGCGGCGAGACCGCGTGCAAACTGGCGCGCAGATGGGGATACAGTTGCAAGGGGATAGCGAAAAATCAGGCGAAGATCGTGTTCGCCGAAGGTAACTTCTGGGGGAGGACGATGAGCGCCGTCTCCTCGAGCACGGACCCGACCAGTTACGGCGGCTTCGGCCCGTTCATGCCCGGATTCGAGGTCATCCCATACGACGACCTCGCCGCGCTAGAGAAAACACTGGCCGATCCCAACGTCTGCGCTTTCATGGTGGAGCCTATACAAGGAGAGGCCGGAGTTGTCGTGCCGAAGGTAGAGTGATCATTTTAATCCTTTGCACTCGACAAAAGATGCTCGTTTACTTAGATTGTAGAAACTGGAGATTCGATAGCAGGTAATTGGGGTACATGTCACTATGATCGCATCAATCAAAATCTTAATACTTCTAAAATACTTCTAATAATAGAACCTCAATAAAATGCTTCTAAAATCCAATATACGTCAATTTCACGCGTTCCGTAAACCTAGTGTTAACGATATTTCAACTGGCGCGATTGCTTATCTTATAAACTAAGGGAGAACTATTTCATTTCTATTATTATGCGTTGACACGTTACACGGTTTAACGTTGAATCAAAAATTTTACAAGTTTGCTGCGTCGAATCAGGCGACTGAAAGGCTCTCGAGTGCAAAGGGTTAAAATTTCACAGGGACTTCGGACACAGCGTTAAATCTCTATATTCTTTAAGGACGGGTACCTGAAGGGAGTCAGAGATCTGTGCACGAAGCACAACGTGCTGTGGATAGCGGACGAGGTGCAAACCGGCTTGGCCAGAACGGGCAAGCGGCTGGCGGTGGACCACGAGAACGTGAAGCCGGACATCCTGATCCTCGGGAAAGCGCTTTCCGGCGGTTTCTACCCGGTGTCCGGTGTGCTGGCCAACGACTCCGTCATGCTGACGATCAAGCCCGGCGAGCACGGCTCGACGTACGGCGGCAACCCCTTGGGCTGCAGAGTCGCCTTGGAGGCGCTCCGCGTGCTCGAGGAGGAGAAGCTGGCCGAGAACGCGCAGAAGCTCGGCGAGATTCTCAGAGGCGAGCTCGGCAAGCTTCCGCGCGACGTGGTCACGCTGGTCAGAGGTAAGGGGCTGCTGAACGCCATCGTGATCAACGAGAAGATCGACGCCATGAAGATCTGCCTGAAGATGAAGGACGCCGGTCTGCTGGCGAAGCCGACGCACGGGCACATCATCAGGCTGGCCCCGCCGCTGGTGATCACCGAGCCCCAAATAAGGGAGTGCGCCGAGATCATCGGCAAAACTGTAACGCAGTACGCCTAGCGCGTATCGCGCACGACGCCTGTAACCTCGGGGAAATCTTGTAAATAAACTGTCGCCTCGTACGAAACACACTCGGATTATGTTCGGAGGGACGCGAGCGACGGCCGAGCTGCATCGGCGGCACGCCGTTATCTTGCTAACGCTAGCGACGTAGAAAAATTGGTCGACCGGTTGCACGCCGGTTATTAATAGCTTATTATGATACCGTCCTGTTCTGTATTTTATCGATCGATGCGTGCTCCAGCGTTTAACTGATATCAGACATTGACTCGACTAGGACAGCGGTATCGCGCTCGAACCGACAAACGAATCAGCTCGCGACCGAGAATCAATTTGTTCTCGGCCTCGCCGGGCGTGGAAAATATGCCCGCGACTGTCGATCAGATGCATTTACATCGATCTTATGCTATCGGTATCAAGAACGGCTGCCAGACGATAACAGATCCCCTGTATCGCTCGCTGTCGTTCCTCAGGCCGCGCTGTTAATCAATCTTACTGTCGCTGGAAATCCTCCTCGCGGATAGATGTATTTAAGCGCCTTAATCGCGAGCGGATAGACGTTAGACGGTAATTCGGGGGCTGCCCGAAAACTGCAATTAAAGAAATGCACATCTTTATCAGCCCGACGAGCAGCCTTCGGATTACTATAGTATTTGCTGTTTTCCGTTTGCTCGGCATGCTGGCGCCGCAATAAAAACGCGACTCCGACTTTATTATCAGACACGGTGTCTTTCGTCGTGTCGAAAGGAATTTAGTGTAAATCCTTCGGCCGTATCAACCGTATACATAAATATCCCACGTAAATAACCAGTACACCGCCCCTACTCCTCTCCTGTCGGACTCGTATAAATGTCAGATTGATCGCAAAGTCGCGTACAGTTTGTCTGATCCTCGTCGGAGCGGCACGCCCTTCGATCCTCTCGTTTCCGAACCAGTGCGCCGCAGATCGGGGAGATGCATCCGGTAAGGTCGGGCCTCGTCGCCTCCTCGAGGACGTTGGGTCTGAGGAGGTTCCTGAGCTCGCAGGAGCTGATCGAGCGGGACAACAAGTACGGCGGCAGACATTTTAAGCCTCTGCCGGTGGTCCTCGCGAGGGGCGACGGCGTTCATTTGTGGGACACCGATGGGAAACGGTACTTGGATTTCCTGGCGGGGTTCTCCACCGTTAACCAGGGACACTGCCACCCGAGGCTCGTCAAGGTGATGCGGGAGCAGGCGGGCAAACTCGCGCACACCTCCAGAGCTTTTTACTCGGAGCCACACGGCGAGTTGGCGGAGTACCTGACGAGGCTGCTGGGGTGGGACAAGTTTCTACCCATGAACACAGGTGCGATCATCGACGTCTTCCGTAATTGATTTTAAAAAGGTTGAATGCCGTGGGGGTCACCGGTGACCCCCAACCAAATCGAATTACTATGGGTTAAATGTTAACACATTGCGTACCGGTTAATTCTTAGAAAACTGGCCGATTTCTCGATGAGATCAACTTATAAGTTCTTGATGTATCACTATATGAAAAATATTCAAATATCTTATTATTTCATAAGTATTACACAAGTAATCAGTTCTAATAAAGTTTGACAATTCTTTAAATGGTGTGGTAGTTCGCAAAATAACTCGGAGACTGAACCACGCTTTTCTATTTCGACGAAAACAAATTTCACAGGCGTCGAAGCCGGCGACACCGCTGTCAAGGTAGCGAGACGCTGGGGGTACAGAATCAAGAAGATACCGAACGAACAGGCGACCGTGGTCTTCGCGAGGAGCAATTTCTGGGGACGATCGATCGCGGCACTGTCGGCGTCCACGGATCCAAATTGTTACACCGATTTCGGACCGTACGTGCCCCGGTTCGACAAGATACCGTACAACGACCTGGCCGCGCTGGAGAAGAAGCTTAAGGACGACCCGACCGTCTGCGCGTTCATGGTGGAACCCATCCAAGGCGAAGCGGGAGTCGTCGTGCCCGACGTAATATTTTTTCCATGCTGAGACTCATTCGATCCGATCTATGGGACCGGTGCAATATTGGAACCTAGAGTTCAAAGGGTCAAAGAGGTGGAAGTATTAACCCTTAGCAACAAAGTTTACAGTTTTGCTGTGTCGAATCATTTGGTGACTCAGAAGCGCCTCTGGAGTGCAAAGGGTTAACACTAAAAATAACTGCTTTCGGTTCTCTTGTTTCGCAATTATTATCTTCCAGCCATTAAATATTCGAAATGATTTTAAAAATAGTTTCAGTTGAACGCTATAATTAATATCTGAGGAAACTGAAAATAATCTGTTGATACAATTGTTATAGAGTTTACATATCAATCATATTACATGTTTGGTAGTTCTAGTATTGATCATTGCAAAGGAAGAAATCAGAAATGAGTCATTTCGACTACTGTCTAGTAGTTTTAGTGTTAAACGAGAATTGACTTTTCCAGGACGGTTACCTGAAAGGCGTACGGGATCTATGCACCAAGTACAACGTCCTATGGATCGCCGACGAGGTGCAAACTGGCCTGTGCAGGACGGGGAAGCGACTGGCAGTCGATCACGAGAATCAAAGGCCGGATATCCTCGTCCTGGGGAAAGCATTGTCCGGAGGACTTTATCCGGTTTCCGGTATCTTGGCGGACGAACAGGTGAGTCATTCGCGTTTCAGTAATTTAAATGCGAGTAACTGAACTAAAATAAACATTCGACGAGCAGATCATCCATTGTTTGGAGACCGGATCGCACGGCAGCACTTTCGGCGGAAGTCCTCTGGGAAACAAGGTCGCTCTGGAGGCGGTTAAGGTCCTGGAGGAGGAGAATCTCGCGGAGAACGCGAGGAAACTCGGGGAGATCGTCCGACAGGAGCTGCAGAAACTGCCGAAGGACGTGGCCACGGAATTTCGGGGACGAGGACTGTTGGCTGGTCTGGTGATCGCGAAAGGTAGCGTCCGTCGTGGACGATTCGACGAATGAGATACACCTGAGCCTCGATTTACGCGGAAATCGCGTACAAGAGAAAGAAAAGAAAATATCGAAGAGAGAAGCTGGTGTAGGTTTTAAGCCTTTGCACTCGAGAGGTTGATTTCATACAGTAAAACTATAAAATTTGATATTTAATATTATGTTTCCTATAATGCGTAATTTCGAGAAATATTTAAACAATAGCTTTGTTCCTCAATGTACGCGTGATTTCTCGACTTAGTTTCACAAAATACCGATTTTATCTCATTAGGGAAGGTTAAAATATTTCTAGTGAGAAACTTCTGAGTGCAAAGGCTTAAAATAATAATAAATAGTAATAATAGAAATAATAGTAATAACATTTTTCACAAAATATCGATTTTATCTCATCAGAAAATGTTAGAATATTTATAGTGAAAAACTTCCGAGTGCAAAGGGTTAAAATAATAATAAATAGTAATAATAGAAATAATAGTAACGACATTTCAGAAATGTTTCAATTCACCGCGTAAAAAGAGGCTCGCTTAAGAGAAGTCCGCGTAAATCGAGGTGTACTGAAATGTTTCAGTTGTTTACAAGTGAACGCTTTTGTTGTAGACTTCGCCGAGGGCTGGGACATTTGCTTGAAGCTGAAGGAGGCAGGTTTGTTGACTAGACCGACCCACGGGCAAATAATAAGAATATCCCCGCCGCTCGTTATCACGGAGGAACAACTGCGAGAAGGACTGCACATACTGACCAGTGTGCTCAACAGTTACAAGTGAAGAAACCCCGTGAATCCTCGCGTGACGGTAGTTCATTCGTTTCCAGCCGCCAAGAGGAGAAACACTCTATGATTGTACGCGTGAAATGTAGTTTTATTGATAAATACAAAAGTTGTGCGCGCAAGCGATCACTAAGCGTGCGACTCGTGCCTCTTCAAGTGTCTCGTTAGACTGAACGCCTGCGAGAACAGCTGGTTGCAGCGATGGCATTTGTACGCTTTGGCGCCGCTGTGCAGGCTCAAGTGCCTCTTCAGGTGGCTGATCAGCTTGAACCGTTTCCCGCAGAGCCGGCACTGGTGTTGCCTCAGAGAGGCGTGCGACGCCTCGTGGTTCTTCAGGTGGCTCGACTGCGAGAACCGTTTCCCGCATGTTTTGCATTCGAACGGCTTCACTTTCGTGTGGATCCTCAGGTGCTCGATGAGGTTGCCCTTCTGGACGAAGCTCTTGTCGCAGTACTCGCACTTGTGCGACCTCGCCGCCTTGTGCGTCTGCAGGTGGATCTTCAGGTTGTACCTCTCGCTGAACCGCTTGTCGCAGATCTCGCACTGCACCAAACCCTTGCCGGTGTGCAGCCGCTCGTGCGCCCTCAGGTTCTTTAGCATGCGGAACCTCTTCCGGCAGGTCGCGCATTCGAAGGGTTTGCTCTGCTCGGTGACCGTGCTCGGCACCGGCTCGTGCGTCTTCAGATGGTCCCGCAGGTAGGAAGGATACGCGAAGATCTTCTCGCAGATCTTGCACTTGTGCACGTTCGTCTTCGTGTGCAGCCGCACGTGAGCGTTCAGCTTGCTCTTGGTGGAGTACGCCTTGTCGCAGCTCTGACACTTGAACGGCTGCTGGCCGGAGTGCGATAACCGGTGGGTCAGCAGCTTCGACCTCTGGGAGAACAATTTCGGGCAGACGTCGCACTTGTACCTCTTGTTCTCCGCGCTCGCCGCATTCTCCTCCTCCGCGTGCCCCTTGTAGTTCAGATTCGCTGCGCACATCTGGTACCTGCCGATGTTCTCCTTGTTGTCCGTCCGCTCGAAATTCTTGCCGAACCTCAGCGCACGCCCGTCGAGCATGCTACCCTCGGATTGCATTGGTGTGTTCTGGACGCGGTCGGAGCTTCCGTTGGACCCGTGGATTTCCTCCAGGTCCATGTTCTCCGGGAAACTGACGCTCTGCATTTGGTCCACGTTCGCTCCGGGCTTCTCGTAGGATAAATTCTGAATGGAATTGTCGACGGAATTGATGGACCTCTCGTAACTCAAGTTCTGCGGTATTTGGTTGGAGTTCTCGCAGATGTCGATGTTCTCGTTGTCGCAGGACATGTCAACGTTCTCTGTGCTGTGAGTGATGTTGTGGCTCACCAGCTGCATTCTGTTTGTGAACGTGTGGTTGCACAGGGAACAATGCAGCGCGCAGGCGGCTCGATTGGGGTCCTCGCCGTTCATCGGGATCATCTGCTGGATCATGTTCGACCTGATCAAAGGGGACAGTTGACTGTTTTGTACCCCCTCGGTCAGGTTGGAACTTAAGTGGCTAAAATTCAGGTTCAAGTAAGGATTCTGAGACTCCATTACACGCATACGTTGCACAGGAATGTTGTCCTGAATGAATGGTAAATGCAGTCTACTGTGCGTGCAGAGTTCCTGGTAGGTTGCACACAAGATACCGCATTCTATACACTTCAGTGTCTTGTGTGTGCTTTGAATCGGCTGGAAACTTTGGTTCTGTTGATACAGTTTGCATCCAGAAACTGCAGCGTATGCTGCTAAACCCGACACCTGGGAAAATGTTGAATTCCGTTTAGCTATGTGTTGCCTGTGTAAGATTTCATTATCAATTTTAACACTAGAACTACCGAGTTAAGTTTGTCTTTTCGAAATTGTTCTGTAGACCTCAATGGTGTAATTATTGAGACCTCTGTTGGAGGAAAATCACCTTTAGAGCGGCTTGTCTCAACGCTCTGTCGGCGGCTCGACATTGTTCCCTGTAAAGCAAAGCAGATTCTGCTCTGGTGACGCAGCGGTCGCACATTTTCTCCGGGAGACCATCGCCTTGCCAAACCTGGTGAAAAACGACCGTTAATACGCGATAATCATACAACGGTGATTCGATGAAAGTCATTCATTACGTCCAAACACGACAAGGACCGCAGCTTAGCAGCGAGAGAGGAACCAGCCGGTCCCACGAATAAACAAATCATTTTATCGCCATCCTCCCTCAAGCATGTACGGCATAATTTGCTGATGTTCTCACTGTCAATCTCTTTCGTAACGATAAACATTGTAATCTATCGAACATCAATTCGAAAGTCGCTGAACCGAGATTCTCGGGTTCGTGACTTTGAGGTTATGTATTTGTTTGATTACATCGTGATCTCGGATGTCAATCATAGATGGCGCTGACTAATTATCGGGTGCCGCCGTCTGCAAACATGCTCCCTGTAATAGCCGTTATTAAAGCGGTAATTATTAATCAACTGACAACAAGGATATAGGATCCAACATAAATATATATCCATTAAACACTGTTCGACACTTTCACCATTTTCCCTTCCACTATCCCCTAATCTATCATGTCCTTGATCGCCTTAAAGAACGGATTCCAAAAACGTTAGTTAATTACTTCATAAATAGTAATATATAAATATAAATCAATTAATGTATAAACAGTTAATTAGTATAGAATTCATTAGAAATCAATTCTTCATGAAATCATAATCCAGTCGCAAGGCAATTTTTTTCAATTTTCTGTAACATGCATTTATATCCTATTTGATAAAATAAATATTCAAATGACTATTCAAACACTAGATATTAATTAACCATTTGTCATACTACATACTGGCAAAGCAAAATTACATCTACGTCAAGCCGGTTGAGAGGCGCCAGGGGCGGTTTGCCTATCCTCGCAATGACAGCACCAGTGTGTGACAAAGATAATGTTTCTTTTCGTTGTCAATCGTTATTTAGGGAGTTTGGTTTCATTTTTATTTTGTGTTTGTTATATCTTGATGTTAGTTTCTTTCCAGAATTTATCTATTTTTAATTGTGTGAAATTTAGTTTTTCAAGGATTGAATATATGTGTGGATGGAGTCCATCCTGTTGCAGTTTTGTATTTTTTTTAGGATAATGATAGTTACGGGCGACAGTAGCGCCATCTAGCGGTGAGAAGTTAGCCGAGTTTCTCCCTATACCCGCAATGTGTAAGACAAGGACAGACATACTGTGCGACAAGGACAGAGACAGTCGTCTCTCCGCCACCTCCTTCGAAAAAGCATCTCATCAGTCCCTGGTACCTACTCGTGAAGCATCAGGACCAAGGAGGTCTCCAATATGGCGCCATCTAGCGGCTGAACCTACGAACTAAATGCGACGTCGATGTAAAGTAAACTACGAGATCAACAGCGGATTCATCAATAACTCAACTCGCGGGAACCATCCATCGATATTAGCAATTCAGAATCGTAGAATGGACCTTCGTTTACTCTCCCATATCTGTTTCGACATGATTTTCCTCGGCGTTAATTGTTTATTAATCATTCTTCCGAACGATGTTCCAGGACTGCGCGAGACTTTCCGACCGAACGAATCGTTTAATTTCTCAATTAATAGACGTAATTAGTGAATATTTCTCATCGAGAAAGTTACAGGAGACTCGTAGGAATATTCTAGTATCAAATTGAATCACATTTGGGCTGTAATTATTGAGTTATCAATGATTTTCCTATTGATTCATTGCGTCTCAATTAATGCAAATTGATGACGCGCCATCTAGTGAGATAACAATGAAACTTCTAGCCAAATAGTATCCAATTATCCCCGCCAGATGGCGCTAATTAGAAGACCTCCTTGGTCCTGATGCTTCACGAGTAGGTACCAGGGACCGATGAGATGCTTATTCCAAGCAGGTGGCAGAGAGACGACTATCTCTGTCCTTGTCGCACACTATCTCCGTCCTTGTCTTACACATTGCGGGTATAGGGAGAAACTCCGCTAGCTTCCCGCCGCTAGATGGCGCCACTGTCGCCACCCACCAAAATTCTACATCCTTGTCGCACTCATTGCGAGGATGGGGTAAAACAATTCCTGCAATTCTCTATTAAAAATGCATTAATAACGGCACTATCGACGAACTGACATTTTCCTGGCATCTATTCAAATCGTCACCCAGCGTAACAGAGTATTGTATGCTGTATTGTTATGCATTATTATGCAATTTCGGAATAGCCAAAGGGAGCAGCAATTAAAGACAGTAATTGCACGAAGGATTGACCGTTTGCACTCGAAACTATGAAATTTGATGTTTTATATAAATGTGAAGTATTTGGATAGATAAGCTTCGTTTCCCGTTTCATTCGAGCGTTCCTCTTTAGTTCCAAGGAGTGTCTTTGTTTATTTAGAAAATGTTAACCGCTCCCAACGAACCGCTTCCTAGTCGAATGCCACGACAACGGCGAATAAAGACACGCGCGAGTGGTCCGCACAGATATTCCGGCGTTCGATTATGGAGAACGATTACGGTAGATCGATGCAGTGGTACGGCGACCTTTTCACCTCGCGTGTTCGAAACTTCGTACGGAAACGACTCGAACGTGCAGCGGGCACATCTCGCGTCGTACGTGCAAGTCGCGCGGGTAGACAGCTGTCCTAAGCGGTCGGTGTCACGGCGTTGCATACACACGCATCGTTCTCCGGTTTATCGTTTTCGCGACACCGGAGACCCATGTTTCACCTGTACGCGCGCGCGCGTTTGTTTCCCGGGGAAGTTCGCGCGCCGGGTCGAGGAATTGGCGAACGTCGAACCCAGCGTCGCCGGCGATCGGTCAAACCGACGAGAAATCGGGACACGTCGACGTTATCGAGGCGAGCCTTACGTGAAACAGCTTTGTCTGTCGATTCATGGGAATTTCTCGTCGAGTTGGTTTTAGGAAATATCGTCTTTGTCTTGGCAGAAAATATTGAAATATTTCTGATGAAAAACTTTGGAATGCAAAGGGTTAAATATCAAAATTTACAGTTTTGCTGTGTCGAATCATTTGACTTAGAGGCGCCTCTGGAGTGCAAGGGGTTAAAAACAGTCGTTTGTCATTCCTTCTCAGTGCAAAATTCGGATGCGTGGAGAATCAAATGATTTTATGGTAGTAGGCTATACTTCATATAATGCATCGATCTAAGAAATATTGACGTAAAATAGCTGTCCGTCAATTCACGTGAATTTCTCGTGAAATATCGTCTTCATCTAATCAGAAAATGTTGAAATATTTCCAGTGAAAAACTTCGGAGTGCAAAGGGTTGAAAACAGTCATTCGACTGGTCCACCCTCGAGACGAGTACCACCGGCGGGTCATTTTCAGCCATTTCGAACTTCGCCAAGGAAATTATGTAAACCATTTGCATTTTTTCAGCTTCGACCCTTATCCATACATCTCAGAGTCATCGAGTTACCCACGATTACCATTCGATCGCCGGCGACCGGTGAAACCGACGAAAAATCGGGCGTCGCGAAACGTCACCGTTATCGAGCCGCTTATCGCGGGCACGCTTTCCCGTGAAAGCTGCATCAAACTATTTCCGCGACGCGTATCGCATTATCTTCCCGGTAATTCCATCGTGCGCGCGTGTTAATTCCGTCGTCGCGCTGATGGGACGTTCGATTTAATTAACTAAATTGGCTTCAGCTCGGTAATTCGGCAAACCGTTGTAACACAGTCGGCGAAACGGGAGCCGAGGAAAAAAGGGCTAGGAAACGCGTTGATTTATACGCCTCCGAAAGGGAACAAGCGCGGCGGCGGCGACCTGCAGCCGGGCGTACGTCAACCGCGACACGGACCGCCGCGGATTCGGCGCTTTTGATTAATTCGAACCGTCGATTAATTCGATTAACGCGGCGAGTGCAAAAACGACGATAACACGGCGAAACAAGGGAATTAATGGCCGCCGTTCCCGTCCCCGACAGCGCTCGCGGCGGCGTGCATTTTAATTCGCTCGGGAAACAACCGGGGAACGAGGCCGCGGCGAAGTAGGCGGCCGGTTCGCCGCCTTTTTCGTTTTCGGGGGCATTCGTTAGCGCCGGCGGTGTCCAATTACGAATCGTAATCACTGATTCGAGGCGCCGGCGACGATTCTTCCTTTCGGCCGGCCGCGACATTAAAACTTCCTGTCGCAGGCACGGCTCGTCCGATTTCACGACGGAAACTCGCTCGAATTACCTGTACGCGCGGCCCGTGCGTGTTCACGGGAATTCCTGTGCGCGGCGAAACACGGCGTACCGCGGGAAGCAGAACTCGTGGAAAATAGGCGGGCATTGGAGAAAGCGAGAGACGCCGCGACAGGACGGGCGTACGCGATCCTCCGGGAATACGCGAGATAATGGGGTTGCGGGTCGATACACTCGATGTGTCCAGGCTTCGCTGTTTAGGCGGAAAACGATGAAAGTTCCCGATAAACCGAATCGAAGCGAGTCTAACTGCGAGCTCCAGTCGTTCGATCGCGATTTCCGCGGGTCGGGAGGATCGGCCGGTTACGTCGCGGCGATGAAACTCCAAACGGATTTTAACCGACCGTGTTTTTTCCCCTCGCCGAACTGCCGGAATCGGATGAATCGCGTCGAACGGTGAACACCGCTCGCTCGCTCGCTGCTGCGGTCTCCGTATGCAAATGAAAATAGGTTTGGAACCGATGCCCCGAATGTAATTTACGGAGCTAAACCGAGTTATCCGGAGTAAATCGCGATTCGAATTCGCCGCTCGGAGAGGGTTTCCGGCGTGTTCCGCGCGCGAGGAGAAGAAGCGGAAGAGGTCGCGGGAATTTTTCCGTTTTTTCAACGGGACCACTTGGCTCGCGCGTCACCGAGCCGCCGGCTAACTGAAATTTACGAGAAGCTCTCGCGCGTTCCGCTTAATTCGCTTTGCAACGATCGAGGAGGGAGGCGTCGGCCTTTTTACGGCGCTCCTCGATCTTCTCGAAATCTCGACGATTCCCGAGTGTCCTTTCGCCGTTCGCGGTTCAACGGGAAAATCGACGGATCCGGAAACGTGACGGAGCAGCGGAATCGACGGAGTTGGCAATCGGCGTGATTCATAGATATCGTTGTCCTTCTTGCGGTTTGATGACGCGCCGCGCTCCGCGGAAGGAAATTTCCGCGAATCATTATCGAATCGGCGTGTAAAAGAGAAACTTGCGGAGCGTGGTTTCCCGTTTGGATATTCGGGATCAGAAGTAGATGATTCGTGATAGATTCGTGAAATGAGGAGAGGGAATGAGGTGTGGTGGAGGAGGAAGAGGGAGAAGGAAAGGAGATAGGGAAAAGACGAAAAAAGCGACGCTGATGGAAAGGGAACGAACGGTGATCGATGGAGGAAAGAACTAATTGAGAAGCTAGAAGAGATTACTGTAATTACGATAATTCCTCGAGCATAAACGTGCACTGCGTACGACACCGTACGACTTCGGCGAACGGAGGTTTTCCTGATTTTTGGAAATAAGGGACGGACCGTGAGAACCGTCGTCGATTTCGCTGTTTTGGCTAGATCGAAGACGTCTGTATCGAATGTTTTCGATGAAATTTGATTATTTATGTGTAATAATATATGATAGCGATCAGTTATGATTAGATTTTCTATTAGAGATTCTATAATATATGAAGTATGCAATACATGAATAAATCTTAACCTTTGCACTCGGAATGTTGCCACTAGAAATATTTTAATATTTTCTGACGAGATAAAATCGATATTTTGTGAAACTAATTTGAAGAGCAATCACACGTACATCGAGGAACACGGCTATTTATTCGAATATTTCTCAAAATGATGCATTATAGGAAATATAACATTAAATATCAAATTTTATAGTTTTACTGTATGAAATCAAGGGTTAAAAAATATTGTCCAGTTTAACCCTTGCACTCGAGAGGTGACTCTCATCACTTGACTTCATACAGTAAAACTATAAAATTTCATGTTTAACATTACACCTCGTACAATGCAACAATTTCTGAAATATTCAAATAAAACACCTTTCTTCCTCAACGTGCAATTTCTCTTCGAGTTTCCCAAAATATCGTTCTCATCTAATCAGAATCTATTCAACCATTCCATTGAAAAACTTCCGAGTGCAAAGGGTTAATCTCACAAAGTTCCCAAATACCCACGAAAATCATTCACAAAGCAACATTCCCGAATTCCCCT